ATATATATAATTATATATATATATATATATATATATATATATAATTATATATATATATAATTATATTTACGAATACAGACTTTACATATGTGTACTACTACTTCGTTATAATTACAATACTCATCCATTGCGAATATTTAGCGGTATACAAACAGTCAAAAATGCTATGTATATACCTACATACATATGTCGACTCAAACCCCAGCCAAGTGAGCGGTCTGTAAAGACTATAAAAACATTCTTCAACACTAGTCATGGTAATTCTCCTTGTAAATGTAATTCTATGTGAATGACTTCAATGTTTAATTTAATATTTGTTCGTGATGTCCACATGGATACATATATAAGACATAACCATCACAATTAAACAAGAACTATGGGAGCTCAATATTATTTAAAGCTATAAATTATAAAATATACCGAGCTTATTAAATACTTAAACAAAAAATGAGATAAATATTATTTATATATTTTGCTGACAATACATCTATATGGGTTTTATGACTAATTGAATAAACTAGTTTATTACTAGCTTACACTTATGAAAATAAAATAAGTCGGAAAACTTTTAAAATTTACCTAAGTTATAAAAAATTACAGAATTTTCGTTTTATAGTTGAGCTTATAATACTTAATTTGCAAATTTATGATAGCGGCAAAACAGTTCTATAAAGAAAATTTGGATCAGGATTTGGATCAGCTCACTTTAGTGCAATATTCTTGAGTTTTGTATATCGTTCGGAGTGTATATATGTCACTCATACATACATATATATATTATTCAGCAACAGGTCGAATAGGGGTAGCTAAACCTAACGTAATAAATTATAATTATTATACTATATGCGATTACCAATAGCAGCTTAATTATATACTACATATACAAGTATTTATTTGTCTGTTTTTTTTTTCTGTATGTGTATTTAAATTTATTATTTATTAAATGCTATAAATAATGTTCGATCATGAATACATCAAAATATATGGGGAATACTCTAACTTCTATTATCTAAAGGGCGATGCTCCGTTAAATAAATCGTTATTGATATGTCTCTTCTTTGTAAGCTCTGGAGCATCGTCACGTAATATGGGAGTACTTCAAGTTATTCAACTCATGAATACGCAGTATATATATCGCCTGATCATTATATATCAACCATTATAAGCATTAATATCTGAAAACGGGGCACTGCGGACTTGCACTACTGCCTGTCGTACCTAAACCGACGCTCAAGGGCAGGTAATTGGTCCAAATTCTGAGTAAAACAAATTGTAGTCGTTCTGTCTAGCGGTCGGACTGCAACAACTCATCAAATTTTTGCTACCACTTCCAAGTGCTGTACAGGCCAAGTAAATGAAAGGCTTCATCTAGTTATAGACACACATATATATATATATATATATATTATATATAGAGATGTATTTACATATTTTTGGCATTATTGATATATATCTATATTGAAGGTTACAGAACAATAAACGAAAACAATGAAAAGTGAATAAAGCAAAAATTTCTCTAGGTTGGAAAACGGTGAAAAATCAAAGTTTTCAATTAATTCAAGATCCACATAACACTCATTAATATATATAAATATACAGGCCTAAAACAAAAGAACGTTAACAAAAGCGTAAAATTTTTGTAAAATGAATAAAAGTTAAATTTTGTCAAAAACAAAACAGCCTTTTTTCAACACATTTGATAAATGAAATCAGGAAGATAATCATTGCAAAGTTTATGAGGGTAGTCTAAAGTCTCGAATAAACAAATTTCCGAGCCTAACATAAAGATAAAAGATAGAAAGATTCTTTAAATTAATATATATATTTTTTTAGACTACTCTCAAATTTTGCTTGTTCGAGACGAATGACATCAATAAGAAATTACAACTTAATCGCAAGGAACATTCACAGAGCGTCTTAATTACAATTAATAACTAATAGCAAAATAAAGATGGGCTATAAAAAATAAGAGTTTTGGCCACGAAGTTCACAATAAAGTTTTCTAATTAACTGGGGATTGAATTGGGACGAGGCCGCGCGTCTTAACGGCCAACTCTCCAAGGTGTTGCTGCAGTAATCGTTTGTTAACTTTTATTCTGTTAAATTGATAAAAAAAAAAAATAATAATAATTAGTATCAGGAGATCCATCTTTTGTTATACGACTTACTTGATAATTAGTGAAACGTAACGTAACTTTTCAGACTCGCTAATGAGTTCAGTGGGAAAATTGGGTACAGACATTACATTCTTTAGCCAGACGGCCATTTCAGCTGGATACTTTTTGTTAATGGACAGAAATACATCGGCAAATTTTTCAACTTGCTGTCGCGGTGTCATGTAGCCCACACAAATCATTGCAGTTTGTAGGATCTGCTCACCGGAGGCCAGCATCACTTCGGTCATGTGGGCATGATTCCTCGATTGCATTACGAACTGAGTTACAAATTGCGTACTAGCCCGGATGGGTCCATTCTCTGGCAATAACATGGCACGTTGTGCATAATAAATTAGGCGATCGTACGCGATAGTTTTGTCCTCCAGCACCTGTGGCACCTTCTTAACAATTTGTGTTAAACAGGAGAAAAACATTTCCATGGTGTCCGAGATATTTGAAAAGTTTTGTTGGGGCGTGTTCTCAAAGAGTTTGAAGCTATGCTGGATAAACTCTAAAAGCAGCTGCTGCATCATCGGTCTACAATTCTCCTCCCAGAAAAATATGACAATGGCCTGAAAAAGTAGGGAGATATATCAAATCTTTATGTTTAGTTATGTACCGCAGGCGCTAACCGTTTTAGAAATCTCCAAGGTGGGTGCACAGCAGCGAGTTTGAAAGCTTGCAACAATGAAATAGCATAAGTCCTGCAACATTGGCTTGAAGCTGCTTCTCAAATTAACAATGGCATGTTTCAAGGCGCTGCATGCAGCCTGTGAAAATATAGTTTTAATCAATTGCAACAGTTATAGAAGCTGGTTAGGCACCTCTAGCACATCTATTTCCTCCACCCACACTTCGGCGATTCGTCGAAATATTGGCATTGTCTTTTCCATAACTAAGAGTACTGGCTGCACATTGTGCGCATCTTTGAGCTCATCATCCAGATCAGTGTTAAGTGACGAAAACAGTGTGGATATCATGTTGAGGCGAAAAATAGTCCGTATACGTGCTGCTGGAGTTGTCTACATATTATAAAAAAACGATTCTAGTATATTAGTAGATGAAAGAGATTATTGTCATGTGCTTACGCTGCCCGCCTGGCAAATGCTCTGCAGTTCTTCGAAGCAGGGACTGACTATAATATCCAGGTATTTTGGTATCTTTTCCGGTGGCAACAAACTCATCAACTTTCCAATGCTAAACATTAAACGCACTGAGTCCGAATTTTTCATGCGACCTGTTACGAGCGTAGCTTGACAAGCATCAAGCAGTGGTTCAGCATACGGCTTCAATTGCATTTGACAATCGCGGCACAGTTCCTTGAGACCCAGCGTAGCCTGTGCCGACATCGTAGAGTTGAGACCGCGCACTAGCAGATCAATAGCCGGTGGTATATAAGACGGATTATCCATTAACCAAGTGCAATAGGACCCAATCGTCTCGAGCGCAGTGCCCAAAAGTTTCTCGTTAAGCTTTTCATACGGTATATCTGAGAGCACGCGCATTAGCTTGGGTATCTGTCGAGACTCCTCACCCCCAAAGTGCTCGGCCACCGATTGAAACGAATATATGCAAGCCTCGAGCTTTGTCCAGTGGGTGGGATGTGCTTGTAGCTCGACAATGGCCTCGTCTAACATAGCAGCTAATATCTCTAAAATATAATCTCCCAATACGTCATAGCAATACATCTAGAGGCGATATCAAAGTTAAGAATATGCGATATATTAATAGTACAGTAAATGCTTACAAAGGTATCGGATATATCCTGCCGATAGCAGCGAAAGCATTCCAGATCGTCCGAGTTCCATTTATCAATAGAGCTCTCGTCGGGCTGCTCTGACTTGCGAACCAACACGGTGGTCAAGTGTGCGTATAGTGGTTTTATATGCTCCCAACATTTGTGCTTCTGCTCGTCGGGCATGGCAAAGACATCGCCCTGCAGCATATACCAAAAGGCCAATGCCATTGTGCTGCATGATTCTTCAACGGGATAAATACCCGGTTTGTCTGTACATTGCAATATCTCGTGTACCATGCGACTCCATATTTCGGATAGCTCTGGATCTGTGGTCGTAATGCCGCTCAGGAATAGTCCCGAGTGTCGCTCTACAGCGGCCACAAACAGCATGTAGATGTGCACAATGATGTCCTCATTGTCATTGTCGCGCTTCCATTCCACTCGTGTAATGTCGCACAATGAGTCTAAGAACATCTTGATCAGCACTGCCGCCGTCTTTGGATAGTTGTGACAATCGGGCTGAACTATAATGCTGACCATTGCACTGAGGCAAGTTTCAGCGAGCTCGTTCTCGTCAGCGGACATGCAGCCAACGCCCGAACGAATGCATGGCCAGTAGCACTTCTTCACCACTTCAAGCAGAACGGCACAGATGCTGACGCAGCCTTCAATACAGTAGCCAATATTTCTACAATAGATTAACCGTGGATGAATATTTAATTACATGCACAAATTTAAAATTAATTCTTACCTGATCCACACGTTTACGCACTTCACCGCCCGCGTCATGTTGCTGTAAGCTTCGGTGTCCCACTCATTCCCCATTTGCTGCTTCAGAAAGGATTCAATTGTCTGCAGCACGAGCGGAACACGTTTTCCAATCTCGCCTCGCAACGTAACCCTCTTTACGGATGTGTGAATCACCTGTGCCTCCTCCGGTATCCCCAGCAGCACCTCCAACATAATCCATAGCTGAGCATCGGGACTAACATTCGGCATACGTTGACTTTGGAACGTCTCAATCACTTCTTCGATGGCGCAGGGCCACTCCTCCAGCATATGTACTATATAGGCGCTTAACTGTGATGGAAAAGTTGCTATACCAATAATAATTATAATATACAAACTCTGCTTTTACCGATAGACATAGCCGGTTAAGCACTAATTTAGGGCCAGCGGCGAATTGCACAATTGTCTCCAAGATCTTTTGTTTCAACTCTTCACGATTTTGGGCCGGCACTTCGTGCCAATATTTCATTAACTTCGAGTGTAATGTTATTGCGCCAAAAAATTGCACTTCTTGACTCTGTTGTGGTTAAAGCAAAATTTATTTTCTTCAGGTGTTCAATTAGATACTGTTCCCCCCACCACCCCACTTACCTTGCCCAACTGCATGAGCTGCCAGGCGAACTGCCAAGCCTGTGGGCTGGCCTCGGCCTTCGTCAGCCATTCGTGTGTAATTGCCTGGTCCTGCGAGTTGGATCGGTAAAAAACAACCACTGCCTCCTCCAGCCGAGCAATATCAATTGTTTCCACGTTTTCCATACTCAACTATTCAAACTAGATTCCTGTATAGCCCAAGTCCCATCAATTTAGCAACAGGACTTGGCTTTTTCAATTAATTCTATTTTGCAAAAATTAGCTCCGCACGCTTAGAGGTGGCCAATAGTTTTAATGCATTCACAATATCGATAAGTCAAATTGAACATATATTTAAACGATATTGAGTAATATCTACAGGTAATTATCACATATCGATTACATGCTGCCCGGTCAATTTAAATTTCTCGGGTAATTTCCGGTCCCTATAAATTTTAGCAAGTAACGAAGCAGTAAAATAAATATATAATTTAATATATAACGACTAGTTAAGCTTGGGCTCTCAGTTTAATAACTTTATTTTATTCTTATTCACAGTAACACTAACCAGAGAACATTGTGCTCTCGCATATTTTTGTAGTCCGACCCCTAAAAGTGATGAGCCGAGCAAATACGAAGTTGACTGGGAGATTACTCTCGAAAATAAGTGTGCAAAACACTTTACACTACGTGTCCGGTCTATGTGTTCTCTGGTTAGTAACAGTAATGACTTCAATCGCAGACTTACTCTCTCGATCTGCAAAGAGAATGAGCTGAAACTAATGACCGTTTTCTGGACAAACTTTTAATATTTATGTTGAAATCTTTCTATCTATCAAATGAAAATTTTACTGGCTTTACCCACACAATACAGAACACGATTGAAGCTTTAAGTTAATAAAAAAATAAAAACATCATCTTCATCAGCTCCACATTTTTAAAGTCCAATCCAAATTGGAGTGTCATTCAAATACCGTAACGTTTATAGCAAAACAAATAAAAAAATTATTTTTTGAGTAATTTAAAAAAAAATGTCTTCAATTATTAAATTTCATTTCTATGATAAAAAAAACAAGATTAATTATTACAGATCAATTTTTATATAATAATCGAATCAGAATTGAAAATAAGAGTTATGCTTTGATTATTACATAAAAATTGATCTTTAATAATTATTTATTATTTAACATATAAATTATTAATTATAATTAAAAAACATTTCTTCTTACAAAAAATTACAGTAAAAGTGAATTATTTTTCTGAATTTCCCTTAAAAAAAATACTTGTGTGTGTTTTCCCCTCTTTTCTTGGGGCTCCTTTTGTGTCTAAATTTTTTTAGATTCATAGCTCCTATTTGCGGTCCTTGATTCAAATTCAACATATACTTATGCAAGAAGCCACTATTTTCAATAATTTAAGATTACAACTGATCGTTTCTAAGGATTTTGTCTAAATATTTTTTTACGTTTTATTTTTGTATCCTTAATAATAGCTTATGTCTTAGCTTACTTAATTACGCTAAAAATTGGGTCTATTCTCCATCGTTGCGATATTAAAAGAAAACCATTTTTTTTAAATGGGTTCCGCTTTTCGCCATTGGAGATTTATAACAATGGTTTTGTTGCAGAGTTGCCACTTGATTTTGCAGTGCTGTAAAACATAAAGATAATATTGGTTAGAGCACTTACAGTCCGCATGGAATGTAAACAAACTCGCTGCAAACAAAATTCGTATATTAATAAATAGAATGCATTAAGATGGCCGTCTCCAAGCGTTCGCTGATTATCGACAACGGATCCTATGAATGCCGGGTTGGATGGAATAATAGCAAGAAACCTGATCTGCGATTTCGTAATGTGCTGACCAAACCACGAAAGGATCGCAAAAAGGATTGCAACCAGATGGCGGACTCCTCTGCAGCTCCTGCAACCCCTGTAGACGAACTGAAAGCAAACGCCGAGATCCAAATCGGAAATGATATAACCAACATTGAAGCAGTACGAGCCCATCTCAAATCGCCATTCGAGCGCAATGTGATAACCAATTGGAATCACCAGGAGCAAATCTTTGACTACGTCTTCAGCAAAATGGGCTTTGATGGTGAGACGAGCATCGAGTACCCCATTGTACTAACAGAAGCGCTTGCCAATCCCAATCCGTGTCGCCGCCAAATGAGCGAGCTGCTCTTCGAGTGCTACGGCGTGCCTGCGGTCTCATATGGCATCGATGCACTCTACAGCTGGCAGCACCACCAACAACAGCAACATAAGAATATTGTGGATGCACTTATTATATCCTTTGGATATAGCACGACGCACGTGATTCCCGTGCTGGGAGGCAAGATGCAGCTGCAGCACGTTCGTCGTCTTAACGTGGGCGGATTCCACATAAATAATTATTTGTTTCGGCTGATGCAAATGAAGTACCCAGTGCATCTAAATGCCATCTCAACTCGCATCGAGAAACTCGTCCACGAGCACTGCCACATTGCGCAGGATTACAAGGAGGAACTAATGAAGTGGGCGCAATTAGATTACTATGAGACACACGTTATGAAGATTCAGTTGCCCTACAACCAAGTCACGGCAACCAATGCATTGCTCACAGCAGAGCAAAAGCAGGAGAAGCGCCGCGAACTAGCGCTGCGACTGCTGGATATTAAGAACCGTCGGGAGCGTGAGAAGATGCAGGAGGATGAGGATTACTTGCAGGTGCTACGCAAGCTAAGGCAGCTCTACGATCAACAGAAACTTCAGAAATTTGAACGTGCACTGCAGCAGCAGCAGATTGCCAACTTGGAGGAGCTGGATAAGCTGGTCGGCACGATAACAGCACGCATTAAACGTGTCAAGGATCGAGCCACTGCCCAACCAAAGCCAAGTAAGCAGCAAGACAAGCTGGACAGGCTGCCAAAGCCGCCAGAGGGTGTGCCGCAAGCGCAGTGGCTGGCGGACCTGCGGGAAAAGCGAGATCAGCTGCAGCAACGTAAGCTGGCTCGTCAGCAGCAGCGACAGGAGCAGGCCAAGCGGCACACGCATGCTGCGCAGGAACGCATGAGGATTATCTCAACGCTGGCGCGCAGCGAGAAACGGCGCAAGGCAAACGGCGGGGATGAGGAGGACGATGGCTTCGGCATGAACGACAACGACTGGGATGTGTACAAGCGAATCAATCGCTACAACGACGACAGCGACTCGGATGCAGAGAATGAACAGATGCTCGAGTATGAGAAGATCTTGCAGCATTACGACGCCAGCTTCGACGATGGTACCAACAATGCGGCCATGCAGGCCCTGATTGCAGCCGAAAACTATCAGCTCCATTTCGGAGTTGAAGCTATCCGGGTGCCAGAGATTCTCTTTCAGCCCAGCATGATTGGGTGCACGGAGGCTGGCCTCGCTGAGCTGATTGCCTTTGTGCTGAAGCTCTTCACGGGCGAGGAGCAGCAGCGCCTGGTCGATCACGTGTACCTAACGGGCAGCTGCGCCCAGTTTCGTGGCTTGAAGGAGCGATTAACTAAGGAAATGCTCGAGCTGCGTCCCTTTCAGTCGAGCTTTGCCATCTATGAGTCTAGCGAGCCCATGTTAGGCGCCTGGCTGGGTGCCTGCCTCCAGGCGAACGGCAAGAGATTCAGTGAGACTTTGACCACTCGACAGCTCTACCACGAGCACGGCGGCGAGTACTTTAAGGAGCATAGTGCGAGCAATTTCTTCTATCCTACACCAAAAGATTAATTTTTATTATTTAAGACGTCCAATTAAATGACATTTAATAACTAAAATAGTAGCTCAGTTACTTCGTTTCCAAACAACAAATTCCAGGATTTGGGCACGGTTAGCTTGAAGCTGCCGTCGCCGCCATCACGCAACTGCAGAAAGTCCTCACAAAGCTCATTCAGTTCGCGTACAATCAGCGACGCGTCAGTTGAGTTATCGCCTTCCAAAAGATAGCGGAATAGCAGCATGACTGACACCTGTTGCTCCTCGAATGCCCGAAATAATTGCAGGCCATTGCCACCGCCAAAGACGTGCTCGCCGGTGTGCTCCTTCCACTTCACCAGCGATGTGCTTCCCCCCAGCTGTGCGGCGTGGGCGGCCTTAAAGTTATCACTGGCACGGTAAGCCCAAGGCGACTCATCAATAAAACGTCGCTCGAAGCCAAAGCTACCGCTCAATATCACAACACGACGCGCTGATTGGAGCATTTCCACTAAATTGATTTGGAAATTTTTAGTGTGTCGCGCAATAAGCGGTGTGCGAAATTGTATGACCAGTAGCTTATCCTCGGCAGATTCATACAGCTCGCAGGATGACACCAGCTCATTTGGTTCATGCTGGTATGCGGAAGGCCCATAGACCGGAATCAAAGCCGAATGAGACAGGTTTCCAATGCGCTTTAACTTTTTCGATGCGATCAACAGGTCGCAGGCTAATTGGGCTGCATTGCCCACACAGATGCTAGGTATGATCACGGTGTAATTGGCCACGTCTAACGATTTGGCTTTGTTTTTAAGATACAGCATTTTGCTGAAGTTGATTTGTTCCGTATGATCCATAATATTGAAATTCAACTAAAATATGAAAGTAATGTTGCTGTGTTGTAAAACGACAGCACCTTCAGTCAAATATCGATAGATTTCTGAACTATCGCAATCAGAGCAGCCCTGCTTGTATGCTATTTGCGTTTCTTGTTTGTGCAAATGCCCGGCTCTTGAATATTTAGCAGATGAAAACATGTCCAACTCGGTTAATATATCCGTGGAGACGACGTGCGAGAACCAAATACGTGAGATCACTTACGATGGCGTTGAGATGTACCAAGCGTGAGCTATTGAAAGAAACAAAATCGCATACATTTCTTTTCTCAACAAGTTACTTCACAGGCCGCCGACGCTTTCAGAGAGTCTTGCAAAGTGCGCGGCACGCATAGACTTCAGCAAAACGTCGTTGGATGATCTAAAGAAAGAAGAAAAATCAGCTGCAGCGGCAACTGATGATGACAAGGATGCCAATCAATTTCAGGAAAGCCTTTGGCCCTGGGATTCAGTGCGCAATAAGCTGAAGGATGCGTACACCGAAATATGTGTGCTATCCGATGTAATATCGATTGCCAAGGATAAGCGTTACCTAGTGCTGGATCCACTGCTGGAGGATGGTGATGATACAAAGCCCATCGTGCAAGTGTACAGTCGGAAAAAGGCACTTTCACAGGCTGCTCAGGTGCTATTGAGCGGGGCCGAGCGGCTACGAAATGCCCACAGTGAGCAGCGTAGTCGCAACGTATCCGACTTTCACATTGAGCTACTGCGTCTACGACAGAATTGGCGCTTGAAGAAGGTCTCCAATGGTGCGATCATTGGCGATCTAAGCTATCGCACAGCGGGCTCCAAGTTCGGCATGAGCGGCACTTTTGAGGTGACCAAAGCGGAGGAAGTTATGGACGACGAGGGTGCCGGTTGCAGTACAAATGCTACCTCCTGTACGAGCAGCAGCAGCACCACCAACAATGGATTGCAGCTAAAGACAAGCTCGGCGCTGCGCGTAATTGTGCCCGCCGAGCTGCAGGGCGTTGCATACATTAAAGTCATCACACAAAAGGATCAAGAAGATCTTTGCACGGCACAGGTAAGGAGTACTTACTCTTGCCTAATTTAATACTTACCCTGAACTTGTATCACAGGTAAACCTAATGGGCCATGGACCCAATATAACTGCCCAGGTAGGAGTTTGGCAAAAAACATTGGAGTTCGCACAGAATGTGCTGTTTTGCAAGGAACTGTTTGCCCAGCTGGCACGCGAGGCAATCCAGCTGCAGGCGCCTATACCCCATGTAGTCATTGGCAATCAGATTCGTGCCACATTGCTGCCCAATATCCAATTAATAATCTCCCTATGCCACTCGACTAGCTTCGATTCGAACCAGCCAGCGCCAATTAACGATCACGATCATGTGCTGGAGCACTCGCTGCATCAGCTCTTGCGGGAGGTGCACTTTAAGAATTCGCATCATCCATTTCCTCATCCGGCCAGCGCACCGCTGGGACCCAGCAAGAAGCGCATGATTGCGGGTCCTACAGCAGCGGATCGGGAATCGCTATTGGACATGACCAAGACGCAGACAATACTAGAGCAAATTATTGCTCAGGCGCAGCACATCTTCATGCGTAAGCGCACTCAATATGTACTGGATACGCTGGCACGCGATGTGAAGGATCCGCAAATCGTGTCGCATTGGAATGCCATGAACAGCCCGACAATGTCCTGCGTCAAGATCAACATTGTGACGCATGGCTACGATGCCATCGGGCGCACCTCGCTGGTCATACACGTGAAGGAGCGTTCGCTGAAGTGCATTTGCCGCGATGGGCGCGTCATGAAACTGTCATATGAGCCACAAGAACTGCGAGATCTCATACTCTGCCAAATTAATTCGCATCAGATCAGCTGTCTTGTCAGCTTGGCCCGCTACATGGCCTGGACAGTGCTCTCAAATAGCAATCACTTGGGCATTGGCAAGGTGGAACCGCTTGGCAATGCCAGTTCTTGTTTACTGGGCTCACCCAACAGCGATCGCATGATTGCCGTTCAAATACGCTGCGATCCGCAAATCGATGTCAAGGTCTACATAGCGCGGAGTCCCCGCGCAGACTTCTTTCCCAGTCCCCTGGTGCCGGAGAAGTTCTGGGAGAACCTTGGTGGCAATTTCAAAGAGGTAAGTGAGTGACTTACAGAATTTATAAATTTACTAACATCGTTCAATTACAGGTGCGTTTTGACAAAATCGAAGGAAAAAGTTTTCTGAATAAAATGGAATTCCTGATGGCATCCCTGACCAGCAACAGCACATGAAAAGGCGCAGATATTAGTTAACTAACATATTATTTATAATTACTAAAAAAAGTTATTTAAGTAAGCTACAGTATGTACAAGTAGTTCAGGTTACTCTCGATTAAAGAACACAGCTCAGCGCTGTATGTTATACACCGCAAAGCTGTTCAGTGGTTGCTGTTGCCGCTGGTGCTGCTGCAGCTGTGGCAGCGGCTGAGGCTGCAGCATGCTAAATGTGTCCTCGAGGCTAATAACATTGGCGCGATTTGTGCTCTGTATAATAAATGTATCAGATCTTTAATTTGTCTAAAGGAACATCAACTCACCCATCGCTCGAGATCGCAAAAGCTGATGTCGTATTGTTGATTAGTTGCAGTGAGGACTGGGCCCAGCGTTGATGCCGGCCTAGCCACGCGCAAGTACAAGCCACGGTTCGTCGAGAAGAGTACCGGGACACGTCTGGCTGGCGCTGAGCCGGCAGTGAAGCCGGCGCCTGTCACTTGTCGATAGGTTAGGCAATTGGGCAGCGCGGTCGCGGACTGAGCATCTGAGTGGGCGTCTGGAGCAGCAGCGGCAGCCACGTTGCGGGCACATCCCAGGCAACTATAAAAACAGGACGCCACTTTGCCGCATTGACTTCGTCCCAGTGGCTAGCAGACGATTAGCGCTCAATAATATGCCTACTAGATATAAAAATGCATATTTATTGATTTTACTGACACGTAGTCGACGTTATCAGCACCAAGTCTGCAAGGACAGTGGTTAACCAACGCTATTAACTCTAGCAGATTTGTGTGGGCCAGGAAGCACTCGCTCGGTTGCCACGGCAATCGACTCACACTCAAATTGAAATGTTCACACTAGAGTTGGGAACTGAGCTATGAACCAGTTCAAGCTTTCAGTGAGGACTAACGGTATTACGTGGATCACTCACTGTTGGCCAGTAGGTAGCTAGATATTTGCAGCTTAAAATCTTCTTATAATATGTACAGAATGATTAGCAGTAACTGGATTATCTATCGGCCAGGAACGACTGAGAATATCCATAGTTTTCTTTCGCCAGAATAAATTATTCCCATTGTAGTGATTTCAATGAACCATTAAACTGCTTCTGAACATTGCGACACAACTCTAGTCCATATGAAGTACTCAATCGGGTTGTGCGTGTGCTCCGATAATTTCGTCTCTCTCCACTTAAATTAGGCGCGCATTTCTATACAAAATGAATCCAAACAGCAGCAACAATTAAGAGATCATTTCATAATAATGAAGATATTACCAATCTCTACCGCTCTATCTGTCCTATATTTTCTTTTAAGTCACATTTTGTAGGGCTTGAGGTACGTACGTAATCATAAAATTGTAATTATAATACAGAAACATATTTTATATACATAATAATATAAAATATTTATTAAAACGACAAGCATTGCATATAATATCTAATTAAATGGACGACTAAAAAGTGTAAATATAAAATAATGTATGTAAGATATAAACAATAAGTAAAAATAAAAATACAGAATTAATTTTTTTGTATCTTCTATTTAGTCAGACTGAATAAATTATATAAAAATATGAATATGAAAATCTAAATGTAAAAATATTTTTTAAAAAATGGACTTGAAATTCTTGAAACTTTTACTTTATTTAATCCGCCCCGAAACAACCAAAAAATTGGTTTCAATGCCTGCAATACTTAAGGATTAGACCGAAAAAAAAAAATAAATAAATAAATAAATATATATATATATATATATATATATATATATATATA